GGCCTCCATTCTGTTCAAATATATTTTGCTTTGTGTGCCTTTCTTGGTATTCTATCTGTGAAAAGCCAATGTGATTTGTTACCAATTAGAAATAGATGCATGTGCCTCAAGACTTCACATCCAGTGGTTAGTTTTCTAGCAAGCTAAAATTATTGGCCAAATCTTATTAATTATAATAATATCTTCCGTGTATTGATTGTTCACAGCATGCCAGTGTCTTAGAATGTCTTATTTAATCGTCACAACAGCTCAGTGTCAGTGGGTACTGCTATTAATCCCTTTATACTGCTGAGGAATCAGAGACAAAGTGCCTTGTACAAGTTTACACAGCTAGTTATTTGTGGGCAGAACCAGAATTTGAACTAAGGTCTGTGTGAGCCTCCAAACACAGGTAAACAGTAAAATTCCATGGTCTGGCTTCCTTTGCATCAATTCTTTTGCCCACACTTAAGGCTTTTACACTGAATACAAAGAGAAGTGGACCTGGGGAAAGTTTATATTTTAGTTTTTTTTAAATTATAAGCTATATGAATTGGCCCTATATGCCCAGGAGGTAATTGTTTATTTTCAAATGACTTTCCAATGCTTTTGGGGATAAGCTCTAGCCAGTGCCTCAAATTTTAGCTTGCAAAAAAATCATTGGGTATATATTTAAAGATCAGATTCTAATTCAGTAGGGCCGAGGAAGGGTCTAAGGTTCTGCATTTATATATAGCTCCCAGGGGAAGGGGTGGGGACCACATTTAGAGTAGCAAGGCCTTAGCCCACTCCACCCTAGCATCGCTTTCCTATCCTTGTGACATCCTCCCTATGATGTGGAAGTTCTTCATATCATCTTTCTGGGCTGGAATAGACATATTTGCATCAGCCTATTTTCTCAGATCCTAAAAGAAACTAGGGTGGAATTAATGGAAACCAGGCATCAGGGCTCAAGAATGGAGGCAGGAAACGACACCCTCCCTGCAAACCTTCCTTCTTCTCATGATCTACGATAAAAACCATCTGTCTTGTCTTTTCTATTTCCTTTGTTTTATGCTTTCAGGAAGTGTTATGTATCTACGTGTGTGTATGCATGTGCATTTATGGGTACTGATTCTGAGGCTGCATATACAAAGCCTGAATAATACTTACTGGATCCCACCAGCTTCCATTCCTCAAAACTAAGAGGGAGCACCAGAGACTGGGTGTTTTAGATGCCTTTTTGTTGGTGGTGTGAGCCAGATCAGTAAGATAAGCATGAACAGTGAAATCTTTGTCATGTTTAATTCTGCCCTCCACCTGAATATACCAGCTGTAGGCATCTTCCATGTTTTCTTAGCTTAGTAAGATAGAAGTGAGTCAGTGAGTGAGTGTGTGTGTGTGTGTGTGTGTGTGTGTGTGTGTTGGGGCAGGTGGTGGGTGAGAAGGCAAGTCACAACGATAGGGCAATAAACATGTAAGTATGAACATGTAAATATAAACATGGAATGGAAGTAGAGGTCTGTGATCTTGGTAAACTAGGCTTTTGTTTCCTCTTAATTTCTTGGAAAGATCTCCAGAGAGCTTTAGGAAATGTATTCAGTACTAGCAAGGCAGTCCTGATTTCTGGTTTTGGTTCTGTCACTAGCTGGTTGTAGGATTTGGGGAAGTCATTTCTACTCTCTGGGGCTCAATTTCTTTATAAGACAAATGAGGACATTGGACTCTGCCAAAACCCCTACTTGTTTCTCACCATCAGCTATTTCCTTGCCTTTGCTAAGATGAAAAGCTGGGGCAATTGCATTGGCTACCACCATCAACTCCACAGTAAGCGATGGAGAACCAAACCTAGGGAAATTGGAAAGTTCCCTTGACCCAGTGAACTGCAATTTTTGCTTTGCCCCACCAGCTTTTATTGCCTTTTAAAAAAATCATCTGTTCTTGCTCAGTTGAGTATGATGTACATGTTTGTTTATGAGACCACAGCTGAGTCATTCAGGACTCATTCTTTGCTGTTGGGATGGGTTGGTTGGTCTCACTGGACAAAGGGCTTGATAGACCCACCAGCAGAAGGAAAGCTATGTGAGTTGAGAAAGGATGACACTCTAGAAACCTCAGTTACTAAGCTCTGGACTCCATGACTAGCCTCAGCTCAGCCCTGATCTGTAGTCAATTAGCTACAACTTCTGCCTAGAATGAAGCATCATTTCTGTCTGTGGGCTGCAAACTTTGTCATACCCCTCCCTGAAAACCTGGAAAACAATGAGGCCAGATTAGGTTGGTGGCATCTTGTGGCACACTGGGGAGAAAGGTCCTGCTCCTCACATTCCCCGCCAGCTCACAGGAGGCTTCTGAATGGCTTTGTGAACTGAGCTGAAAACAAGAACCTTTGGCAGAAGTAAAGAAGGCAGAAATGTTTTGGTCCCTCTCTGAGTGATGGTGCCATAGCAAAAGACAAATTAGAATATTTGGAAGCAGGCTGGAGGACAATCACATGATACATTTGAGATATCCATTCGATAATTAAGCACCTGAATGGCTCGTAGATTGGAATTTAATGTGCTAAGGAGTGAAATGAGATGGCAAAAGTGAAAATGTACTCCAACGCTCTCCATTATCGGGTTCTAAGGATTTCTTTCACTGTTAACACAGTGTTTACAAGGCAAATTGTAGGCAATTGTAAGGTGCTTCAGTTAATCAATTTCCTGGACTAATTCCATCCCCAGCCAAAGCAGAAGAAAGCAAACACCTGGATGGTTTTCTTTCCATGTTTCAAAACATCTTCACGTTCTGTCCTATCTTCTGTCCCATCCTCTTCCTCCCCACTGCATTTCTAATTTTCTGGCCCAGCCTCCTCTAAGCACTGTGGTTCTGTGCGTTGTTAATTCTAGGAAGAATGGAATCATCAGATCTCTAGAGCTGTTATAGCTGGTAGAAATGGCAGATATTATCTGGTCCAGGTCTCTTTGTTGGGGCACATCCTAAAGCCAGGTAAACCTGGGTCAACACAGTTGAGGACTGCATGGGTTCTGGACCACTGCACCGCCCACCTCCTTGTCCCCTGAGGAACCATGGATCAGGACCCACTGTGGCAGTCAGATATTCACATCACCAAGAACAGAGCAGAGACCTACACCTTAGGCTTCATCCGTGTTGACACTGTCAGTTATTCTCCAAGTATGAAGCTGCTGGTTCTTTCCTACCTGTCTGCAACCTGGTCTTTGCTATTTATGGGAAAGTGTAATTTTAACCTAAGAAGATATTTGCTTACAGTTGCCTAAAAAAAGTAACAGAACAGGCACCTTTTCAGATCCTTCTTGAGTAATTCTTGTTCTGTTCTGTCTCTCGCAGGGAGCATTAGAACAAATTGCCTGATGCAACATAAACAGTTCTACTTAATGCAAAATCCATTTCTCTCATTTGCTGAATTGGAAAGAGGTAATTCATTGTATTCCAGTAACATAATAATAAATAGAAAATTTAACAGAAGAGCCTGGGTGCTTTGGAAGCACAAGTTCAAATACTCCCATCTCGGCTACAACAGCACAGAGCCCAGATTATATAGAATTGATCTGAGTCCTTGAAAAAATACACACACACACCATATATACTACAACTTTATGAAAGCAGAGTGTCTCTCTCCCTCCCTCCCTCCCTCTCTCTCTCTCTCTTTCTCTCTCTCTCTCTCTTTCTCTCTTTCTCTATTTCTCTAGTAAAACTTCATGAAAGCAGCATCTTCCAGGGAGCAAAACACAAATTTCAAGTTTTTCCTTCAACCTTGCAGACAGAGCTTGACCCAGTGGGTTTTCTTTATCCCAGGCTAAACATTTGCTTTGAAACCAACTTGGTACTATGTGAATATATTTCTATGCCTTTTGATTTAGAGTAAGCAGATGTTAAAGACCGGGTGAAAGTTATCCTTTGATATCATTTATATCTCAGCTTTTTACAAGTCTATACGAAAGGAGACATGATATAAATCATCTATACAATACCCAAAAAAATGCCTTAGACCGACAGTAGACAATTATGAATGCTGATACATAAACTTGCCATATTTGCTAAATGCCATGAGGATAAATACATAGCCCCATGTCAGCGTAGTAAATATTTCTCACTTGAAGCCAGAGCTGACGTGCACAATCTCTAAAGGGAGTGTTATTGATTAGTCTGTGTTCTTCTACTCATATAATAAACTTGGGTAAAGTTCAGAGATCCTGTCTTCCAGACTGGTTTCCAGGCTCCGGGCTTTTCATGAGGGACTGATAACCTTGGTATCCATCACCACATACCTGACTATGGCCAGAAGACCCCAGGTTGGCAATGGGGGAAAAGCATTTTTCCCAGTTTCATTCTTAGAGACCTGGAAAAAGATCCGGATCTGTGAATACAGCTCAGTACCTTGTGTGTGTGTGGGGGGGGTGGATAAGATGAAGACGGTTTGTCCAAGTCAGCGTGTGTGTTTGTGGGGAGAGGGGTATCCACTTTGGAACATAGATCTGAGTGATGTCTTCCCCTTTGTATTTCCTAGTTTCTTTAGGGAAGCCAGGAAAATGAATCTAGCCATTTCGTAAGTTTGAAGGATACAAGACAGCAAGAAGGTGAATGGGGGACTCTGGTCCCTGAGCCCTCATGAGCTCACCCTGGCCCTGGCGTCTTAAAGTGGCTTTCAGCAAAAGGGCCAGTGTCCTTATTCCCAAGCCCGTCTCCCAGGCCAGTTTTGATCTCTGATCTTAGATCACTGTCCCAGGGTTAGGGCAAAGCTCTGGTTTAGGAGAACATCTCGTGTGAAAAGGATGTTTTTTGGTCAGTGCCAAGAACCACCTTGCCCTAATACCTCTAGAGTCCCACCGTATCTCTCACCCTGTGCCCCCAAACAATCTGTTGCTGGTTTTGCTCTGCTCCCCACCACCCCAGCTCATAACCAGCTAGCGCTTCTCAGCCCTCCGCCTACCGACACCTTCACTCAACCCGCACCTCGCTGTCCCTTGGCAGCGCTCTGAGCAGCAAAGCAGAGGGCTCGGGGCCGCTTGTCCACTTACCCCGGGGCCAAGTGGTTTGTTCGGATCTGCGTCGTCTGGCGTCCGCAAGCCAAGGAGCACAGTGTGGCCGCCTTACCGGTTCTCTCGTGGCGCGCCAACAGCAGCCGCCTGGGACAGCCAGGGGCCTCCAGGCTGCCGGCTGGTGGGCGGATGAGCACAGGGAAAGGGGCGGGATGTAACGAGGCACACGAGCCCAAGTGCTGGCTCCTATCTTGGTTTCTCCCTTCGCATCTCAGTCAGTCCCAAACTTCCCTGTGGCCGGCCCTCTCTCCTCACCTTTCGCCTTCCTCAGCACCCCGAAACTCTTTGCTCTACCCGCACCCCTGCCTGTCCCCGCTTGCTTCTCCCGGTTCTCTGACCCAACCTGTGCCCCTTCAGACGCACGCACCCCCTTCACGCAGCCAGCCACACAATAAGGGCAAGGGAAGAAACTGACACAGGGAAACTGACAGGAGTAGCTGACACGGGAGTCTGAGGGAGAGAGGAAGAGAAGAGACAGGGAGAGAAAGACACGGAGAGACCAGCATTCACACTTACATGCACAAACACACACTCAAGCTCCAGCCGCTAGGTAGCAGCTGGCAGGAGCCCCGGTCACCCCTACAAATCATTCTAGACTAGAGATTTCTGTCCCCTTCTGCTGCTTCTGGAAAATGCTATACAACGAGCGGGAGAGAAAAGCAAAGAGGAGTAGGGAGGGGAAAATCGAGGAGGCGCGCTCCCTTTCTTCTCCCCACCCCTAGCTCCAAAAATGTCCAACCCTGAGCTCTTCCTTTTCCCTTCTATCTGCTCCCGGCTTCCCTCTGCTCCTTTTCTCTTTCTCCTTTCCTTTGGGTGGCTGCAAGCTGGTAGAACCCTTCTCGGTTGTGATGTGTGTGTGTGTGTGTGTATGTGTGTGTGTGAGAGAGAAAGGAGAGAGAGAGAGAGAGAGATGGGGGAGAGACCGCGCGGTAGGCAAAAGCACCTCTCACCTCCCCCAGCCTGGGCAGGGTGCCTCACACACTCAGAGCTCAAGGCAGGGGCGGGCAGGGCGGGGCGGGGGAGACGGGGAGGGGGGAGGGAAAGGAGAGAGAGGACGGGGCAGCCTGCAGGGGCAACAGCTCCTGCCGTCTCTGCAGCTTGGTAGCCAGGGGTGGAAGGAAGCCGAAGCCGAAACCCCAAGTCAGCCCCCGGTGCCCTGTCCCACCGTCTCATCTCTTACCCCCTCGGTACGAAATTTTCTGTTTCATTCGTTTGGTCTCCCCGGGCCTCTTCCTCCCTTGGGTGGTGGCAGAGACTGGGGTGCTGAGCGCGGGTTCGGGTAGAGTGGACCAGAGCACTAGCTTGCAGAGTCTCTCTTTGCCCCTTGTCCTGAGTGCCCTGCTTTGGACAGTGACCCCCACCCACCCCTCTCAGCCCGGGCTCTGAGCTGGTGGTGGCGGGGCTGCGCAGGCAGCCATGGGCCATCCCGGGGGAAGGGGAGTTGAGCCCTCGAAGAGTGCCGGTGAGCAGCGGGCGGACTGCAGGACAGCGGGACTGACCACGGGACCCTGAGACTCCGGGGTCTGACCTGGGGGTCGTCTTGGTCGGCTTCAACCCCTGACTTGTCTAGTGTAACTCAGGGCAGGTAGCCCGGGAGTTCAACCCAACGGGAGCACAGCCCAATTCTCCCATCCTTGCCCTTCTCACCCTTAGGGTCGGTCTTCTGAGATCCAACCTAGATTGAAGGGGCGAGGCGGGGGCGCGGGTGTGGGGGATGGATAGTGGTGTTGTAGGATGAGGCAGTAAGTTGCTTAGTGGTGGCAGTGGCATCAGTGTGTATGGGTGGGGGGCGGGGTCAGTGTCACTGTCACCGGACACTTCGGACACTCTGATCTTTGCTCCTTTGTGTCACATGAGGCACCTCCGCACCCCCACCTCTCTCCCTGTACTGTGGCACCCGGAACGCCGACCCTCTTGAACCTCCTGGAAAGGACTAAATGGTCCCACCCCCACCACAAGCCTGAGACTTCTACCTGCAACCTGCAGGCACTTAGGTCCGCTAGCTGGCAGCATCTCCTGGCCCAGCCCCAAAGCCCCAAAGCTCAGCTTTGTCTTTATCTCCCTCATTACCTCTCTCCAGAAAGAAGGGTTAGAGGCTCTGCCATTCTGGATGCTGGGCCGGTGCCTGAAACCCTGCCCAGTCTCAGAACAACTCGGTGCTCAGAGAAGGTTCTGCTGTGCTTCCCGCTGTCGCGTTCACCCCCTGACTGAGCACACTATGAGCTTGAGCTGGGCTCCAAGAACTGTCTGCCTTGCCTAACTGGCAGAGTGTTCCCATTGCTGTGCTGGTGAAGCTGGTGTAATTAGGTTTAGTGGGCGCCCTAGCAACTCTCCTAGGCTACCCTGAGAAAGTCCCTTGGGGCACTAAGCCAAGACAAGTTTTTCTGTTGTCCTCGGTTCCCTTAGCCCCGAAGTGGCCCAGTATTCTGGAGAGTATTAAGCTTTTGTGTGAGAGCAAGGCACTGGAGAAAAAGTATTACTTTAGGGGATGAAGAGTTTGTGTTTGTGTGTGGGGAGGGGAGGGGTGAGGGTGGAGCTCCCCTTCCATACTCTTTAAACATTTTAAGAAGTGTTTCTAAAGATTGGCCAATGATGTAGATTAAAAAAAAATCACTCAGTTCTGGAACTTGCTGCCTTTCTTCCATTCAAACATAGTTTTACTGTGGCCAGCCACCTCGAGTGTACAGCCTCTCAAACAGAAGAGGTCTATGTTATGATTAAGTGGGTTCCTCCTTTGGCATGAGGAGTGAGGAGGAAATATGACTCTGGACAATACTTTAGGGCATATCCTTTTCTCTGACCAAGCTACAGTTCAGGGGAAGCTTTTACTTCAAGCCTAGGATGCGACCAGGAGTAGTGGCCCGGGAGAAGGAAAGAAAGCCCTATTCTTGTGAGCTCCTTTGAAGGCCCTATATATACAGTACAGTGTCTTTAACAGAGGGGTATTGTGGGTGTTTTTGAATTTGGGTACTTTCTCAGTGGATTGTGGTTAAGACCCATTTTTTTCTATCTGCTCCTGTCTGCCCTACCCTGTTAACCTCTTCAGGAGTTCAAGGATATACAAAGGAAAACCCTTTCCAAAGTTAAAAGCACCATGCAAATGTCAGGTATTACTATATGAATTCCAGGACAAACTTACTGAAGGATCTCCTAGTACAGTTAAGAAGCTGACTTGAGTAGGTGCCTAAGCTTGCCTAGGTTGCTTGTCAGCCTTGAGGGCTGGGGACTCATCTTCTCTGTGGATATGGAAATATTCAGGTTTTCTACGTGGTGGCTGAGAGTGTATGTTTGTTTGAACTCTCCTGGGGCAGATTGCAACCAGAGGCCACATCTGCAAAAGTGGTTCAAAGCCAAAAATGGAAGGGACTATGGATAATTTAAGCCCAGATCTATCTAGTTTCTAGGCAAGCTTTACTCACATGGCCTGACCTATTCAAACACCATCCAGATATGACTGTCAAAATGCAGTTGAGACTGAAACATTCAAGGGCTCTCTCCTCTGCTCTTCTTACAGCCTTGACCAGAGTAGTAAGTGGGATCTGTAGACAGGAGTTTAGTGTAATAGGCAAAGACAGACTGATAGGAGGAAGCCAGAGAGTAAAGGTGTTTTCTTTTCCCCGTTAAGAAGAGCTTCTCAACCTGGGCACTACTGACATTGGGGCCAGATGATTTCTTATTGTGGGGGCTGTCCTGTGCATTACAGGATACTTAACAACATCCCTGGACTCTTTACTAGGTGTCGGTAACACCCACCCCCATCTTGTGACAACCAAAAATGTCTCCAGACATTGCCAAATGTCTCCTACAGGGCAAAATCGTCCTCCCCATTGAGAACTACTGCCATTTAAGGTAGTGTCACATTTCAAAGATCGTATTTTACCTTAATTTTACCCACATGGGCTTGTCCAGATCTTGTATGGAACACAATCTCAGGAAATATGGAATATTTTGTGAAGAAACAACATAAAAAGGAGTCCTTACAAATAAATAAATTTGGACAAATGATTGACTTCATCATTATAATCATTGCTACCCTCATCACCATCTAACTTTTATTGAGCACTCACTCTCAGTAGGGTGTTGATTATAGCAAAGATCTATAAGGCATAATTCTAGCCTTCAATACATTAAGAAACTATTGAATTTTTCATCCCCAAAGGGGAAGGTTTACAGATTTTCATGGATAACCAGCTTCTGGATTGAATCCAGCCTGGCTTTCTACCTCTTCTATTTCCCTTTTGTTCCCAAACATTGACGTATTTTTTAAGATTCTGCCTTAGGGATTGCCCTTTTGTCTTGTTAATTACCATAGGTCAGTCTACCTTCAGTTTTTTGTGTGTGCGACTTCCCTCTGTAAGGCACTTATGCCATAACAATGTATCCAGCATCGAAATGACCACATCAAAAGGCTTTAACAAATTGAGCATTTTGAAGGCAAGTTTTTATTTTCTGTCAACTGAAAAAAAAATGCACATCCTAAAAGTTGAGAATTATGTTTTGTTTGGCAGACTTTCTGAGGACTCAAGCTGGATAGCTCAATCTCAGAGATCTCTTGAGGGAGTGCTCTAAAGAGGTAAAGGAGGATCCAGGATATAGAGGGGTTTTTGCAACAAAGGCCAGGTAGTTGGAACATCAAAAGATTACTGTTAATGAAAGAAAACTAGACATCTTAAGTTAAGGAATTTAGCACTTTTCTATGCATGGGAAGACCACAAGGGTCTGGGCTCATTGAAATCATTCCTTTGATACGCAGTTTAGCTATCTAGGGGCAGTATCCTGTTCTTTCCCATCCCCTCAGGGTGCACCATTGAGGGTGGTTGCAGTGGCTGAGGGCTTGCAGAGGGCAGCCCATTTGTCTCCATTCTGAGTTCCCTCAGGGCTCACCGTTGGGGCATCGGTAGTGGTCAATGGCTTGAAGGTATCCTTTGTTTGCTGATATGGCAGGCGGCAACATTCACAGTACAAAGGAAGGGACTTCTAGTTACCTGCTTGGAAGAGACATACTCAACAATGGCAAAGGAAATAGGATGGAATGGAATGTAAGAAGAGATGATTCTTAAAATATAGCAGAGTGTTGAAAAAATGTCTCTGTGTGGTTGTGGATTTTAATGCTCAGTGGTATTTCTGCCCCAGGAAGTCAAACAACACTAATGTGAGTTGTGGGATCCTGATCAGGGATTCAGCAAAGGAAAATGCAGGAGGAAGTGTGGAGTATCTGTTCAAAAACAGCTAAATAAGCTCCTGCCTTAGAAAATAAGTTTCCAATGAGCCAGACTTACATCAGTGTCACTTACTTTGAATTACTCCTAATCCAATACCACATATATATATATATCTTAACATGCCTCTTGTAAAGACCAGTGCGGGAACCAACCATCAGTACACTTTTTTTTTATACGTCTTGTACACTCATAAATTAGGATTCTCTTGCCAAGACTAATTATTTAAATGAAGTTTTGTCTGAATTGGAACCATGAGTGGCTGTTAGTAATTGAAAACATGTTTCACATTTCAGAAGTATGTTTAAATTCTTAGATCACAACAGGATCCCTGTAATCAAGGCATCAGGCCTTAAATAGTGATTAATCTTAATAAGAGAAGTATAAACAGAGCCACACATCATGGGTTAGCTAAGGACTTTTCTGTGCTTACCATTAATAGGAATACAAATGAGGCTGGCCCTGGGCAAATTTATTAAGTGGGATTTCAGAGTCACAGAACATTAGAGAACATTGGGCCAGTGAGAAGGGCCTTGCTTGAGGTTCCATTATAGTTAGTGACAGAGACAAGTCTTGCTGCTCTGGGACTGACTCTGTGGCCGCAGGAAGGAAGC